AGGAGGAGGAGGAGGAGGAGGAGGAGGAGGAGGAAGACTGTGGGGTCCTTGGTGCTCTCTGAGCTTGGTGGTTTCCTTGCAGACGTTTCATGACCCAGCTAGGTAATGTTATCAGAGCTAGAAGGGTTTGCGGAGATGAGTAGGAGGACGGTGCGGTCCCCGTAACTCTCTATGGTGGGTTGTTTTGTTGCAGATGTTTCACCACCCGACTAGGTAACATCTTTCAAGCTAGAAGGGAGGGCGGGTTGAGGATTGGAGCAGGTGGAGAAGGGAGGAGGAGGAGGAGGACGACAACTGTGGGGTCCTTGGTGCTCTCTGAGCTTGGTGGTTTTCTTGCAGATGTTTCATTACCCAATTAGACGACCTCATCAGTGCTAGAGGGCAAAGGGGTTTGCAGAGAGGAGGGGGAGGAAGAAGAAGAAGAGGAGGAGGAGGTGGAGGAGGAGGAAGAAGGGGAGAACTGTGGGATCCTTGGTGCTCTCTGAATTTAAGGTTTTTTTTTCCAGACGTTTCATGACCCAACTAGGGAACAATATCAATTCCAAAGGAGAGGGGGATTGTAGAGAGGAGGAAGAGGAGAACTGTGGGATCCTTCGTGCTCTCCGAGCTTGGTGGTTTCCTTGCAAACATTTCATGACCCAGCTAGCTAACATCCTCAGTGCTAGAAGGGAGAGGGAGGCGAAGGGCCTCGGGGCCCTTGGTGATCCCTGAGCGTGGTTCGTTGCTTTGCAGGCGTCTCATGACCCAACTAGGTAACGTCATCAGCGCAATAATGAATGTAGGGAATGAAACGTCTGCAAGGAAACCACCAAGCTCAGAAATCAGCTGGGACCCCCACAGTTCAACCCCAAGCACTAAAGACCCTCTTCTGTAGAGTCTTTCAGAAATGTATTTTATTAAATTTTATTTATTTAATAGATGTATTCATTCCATCTGTACACCGCCCGTCTCATCTAGAAGTGATGGATTCACATTCTCTTTGACCGCCTAAAATAAAAAATTGGTGTTTTTTTTTTAAAGTGGCCTGTTTTTAAAATTTATATCCTGCTTTGCAAAAGACCCTTATTTTCCTCGACTTACAGCAGCCCATTTAGCGACCGTCCGAAGTTGCAATAGCACTGAAAAAGGCGAGTCACAAGCGTTTTTTCACACTTAACGACCATTGCAGCATCCCTGTGGTCATGATCGATATTTCGACGCTTGGCCACTGTTTCATATTTATGACGGTCGCAGTGTGTCCCCGTCCCCCCCCCGGGGTCACGTGATCCTCTTTTGCGACCTTCTGACAAGCAAAGTCACAGTGGGGAAGCCGGATTCACAAAGTGACCAAGTTTAATGACGGCAGTGATTCACTTAATAACTGTGACAAGAAAGGTCTCAAAATGGGGCCAAACTCCCTGAGCAAACGTCTCGCTTGGCAGCATAAATTCTGTGCTCAGTTGTCGTCGTAAGTCGAGGACCGCCTGTATGCCCCTTTTATTATTTATACAAATATATAAACAATATATATATATTTATACGGCATAGGGTTTCCTGCCTAGGCAGGGGGTTGGACTAGATGACCTCCCGGGCCCCTTCCAACTCTGCTATTGTATTGTATACAAATAATTCAAGATGGCAGACGTGCCTAAAGCTCCCTCCCTCCTCTTCGTTCTATTTTTCACCTCCACAACAACCCTGTGAGGGAGGCCAGCCAGTCAGCCGGCTTTCCTGCCTAAGGCAGGATTGGAACTCGGGGTTTCCCCACTTTCTGGTCTGGGGCCTGTGCTTACTCACAAGGAGGCTTGGAGACGCCTGTCGAGAGATCGAATTCTGGAACAATCCGTGGATCTTCGATCTGGAGGAGCCTCAGGATGTTTGTGCTTTTGATTCTAGTCTTCTAGATGAATTGTCTCTTCGCCACAAATAGCCAGTTTAAGACCTGTGGACTTCAACTCCCAGAATTCCCCAGCCAGGAATTCTGGAAGTTGAAGTCCACAGGATTTAAATTGGCCATGGTTGGACATCCCTGCATCTGTTTCTCACCCCCCCCCCAACCTCCCTCTTTCACCCCCCCTTCACCTCTTTCTCTCTCTGTTTCATTCTTTCTCTTTCTCTTTCCCTATCTCTGTTTCTGTTCCTTTCTCAGTCTTTCTTTTTCCCTCTCCCTCTTTCTTTCGTTCTTTCTTCTTTCTCTCACTTTTGCGCTCTCTTTTTCTTTCTCTTTCTCTGTTTTCCATATCTCTCTTCTTTTTCTTTCTTGCTGTCTCTTTCTCTTTCTCAGCCATTCTTTTTCCCTTCTCCCTTCTCCCTCCCTCTTTCTTTCTTTCTTTCTTTCTTTCTTTCTTTCTTTCTTTCTTTCTTTCTTTCT